CCACAAATTTGTATGACTTGTTAATGAACTTGGCTCAAATCCTAAGTTCTCATGGAAATTGATGACACTTTGTGTGTTGATGTTTGGTCTGCACCTAAAGCATGTACTTACAACTAGATTCATGAATCAATCAAACAAAAAAAACATTTAGGGTATTACTGCATTAAATCTGTACTAAAGTGATTATTGTTGGTGTCTTTGTAGTTAGTATGTCATTTATGTCACACATGAATCTGTTACTACATCTTTTGAAAGTTCAACCTAAGATGTTTGCTAGTTAGTTCAGGTGAGACCCACTTAGCTTTTAATAGGAGACGGTAGCATTTATACGTTGCACCAAGCTCTGATCTCAGACAGAACTCACAGAAAATGAATCTCTTCTTTTTCTTCATCTTCTTCCTCATTGGATCTTGCGTTGGAGGAGCCAATGACACAATCATGACAAAACAGTCCTTGATAGATAGTGATGTAATACTCTCTAAAGGAAAGAGATTTGCTTTTGGATTCTTCAGCCTTGGGGACTCTAAGCTTCGTTATGTTGGGATTTGGTATGCTCAGATCTCTGAGCAGACTGTTATATGGGTTGCAAATAGAGACCGTCCTGTTAATGACACATCAGGTCTGGTAGTGTTCAGCAGCAGAGGGAATCTCTGCTTATATGCATCAGCCGATGAAACAGAGCTTCTATGGTCTACTAATGTGTCAGATAGGATCTCTGAGCCAATGGCGAGACTCTCTGATCTAGGCAACCTTGTTGTACTTGATCCTGTCACAGGGAGAACCTTCTGGGAGAGCTTTGATCATCCTACAGACACTTTTGTTCCGTTTATGAGACTTGGTTTCACAAGAAAAGACGGTATAGATCGTTTTCTAACGTCTTGGAGATCTCCTTTAGACCCTGGTCTCGGAAACTATACCATGCGTATGGAACGTAGAGGGTTTCCACAAACTATGATGTACAACGGTCTGAAACCATTGTGGCGTGGAGGCTCATGGACAGGACAGAGATGGAGCGGTGTGCCTGAGAAGACACTCAAGTCCATCTTCAACATCTCCTTTGTGAATAATCAAGAAGAAGTGTCCAACACTTACGGTGTGTTGGACACTTCAGTCATAACAAGAGTGGTGATGAGAGACGTGGGAAGCCTGCAACGGTTTACGTGGAACGCAAGGGAAAAGAGATGGATAGGGTTAAGACCAAACCCTCAAGAGCAATGCGACGGCTACGCTTACTGTGGCCTTAACGGTTACTGTGATCCCTTGAGTAGAGACACGTTGGAGTGCAGATGCTTACCTGGCTACGAGCCCAAGACGCCAGAGGATTGGAACTCGAGAGATCCTTCAGGTGGATGCACAAGGAGAGATGCAACTTTAACGTGCCGTGGGAGAGAAGTGTTTGTGAAGTTGGAGCGTGTGAAGATACCAGACACATCAGGTGCAAGTGTGGATATGAACATTACATTGAAGGAATGCAAACAGAGATGCTTAGGGAATTGCACTTGTGTTGCTTACGCAAGTGCTTACTACGAAAGTGAAGGAGGAGCAACAGGGTGCTTGACATGGCACGGTGATATGTTGGATACGAGGATATACTTGAGCTCAGGACAAGATTTCTATGTACGCGTAGACAAGGAAGAGTTAGGTACACGTGTACATCCACTTGCCTGTGTTTTGTGTGATTCAATAACAGGCCTTAATGTTTACCCTACAGATTTTGTAATACTTAACATCTTGTCTGTATGTTTGTTTCAGCACGGTGGAACAGAGATGGGTCATCAAGGAAGAGGAGACTCATTTGGATTCTCATCAGTTTGGTTTCAGCCGTAATGTTAACAACTGTTATAGTGTTCTGTTTTGTAAGGAAGCGACAAAGTAAGTATTTATCTGATGATATATCGTTCAAGTTCATAAGTTAGTTTCTTGGCTCACAATTAACTAAAAATATGGTCAAGCACAGAGTCGAACAGGCATACAAGATCTGCAACAAGTACAACCTTCGCCACAAGTTATGTTGATTTTGGAGACTCGCTCAGATTTGAAGAACAGCTTCAGGACAAGGCAAGAAACCGGGAGTTACCTCTCTTTGAGTTTACCACAATCTCTGAAGCGACAGACAACTTCTCTCTTCATAACAAGCTTGGAGCAGGTGGTTTTGGATCCGTTTATAAGGTAAGGAAGAAACCAAAAACATATCTAAAGTTAAGTGGTATGTTTAGGAACACAACTTGTTTGTTTATGTTCAGGGCGTGTTAGAGAATGGTATGGAGATAGCTGTGAAGAGGTTATCAACAAACTCAGGCCAGGGAATGGTAGAGTTTAAGAACGAGGTGAAGCTGATATCAAAGCTGCAGCATCGGAATCTCGTTAGGATCTTAGGGTGTTGCGTTGAACTGGAAGAAAAGATGTTGATATATGAGTATCTACCGAACAAGAGTCTAGACTATTTCATATTCCGTACGTTCATAACTTATAATATACCTTTTTCTTATGAGAAAGACCTGTGACTTCATTTTCATTCACTATGTTATGTTAGATGAAGAGCATAGAGCGATTTTGGATTGGCCACAACGGATAGATATTATCAGAGGGATTGCTCGTGGAGTCCTCTATCTTCATCATGATTCAAGACTTAGGATCATCCACAGGGACCTCAAGGCAAGCAATGTACTTCTTGACAATGAAATGATCCCCAAGATTTCGGATTTTGGCATGGCGAGGATCTTTGGAGGCAACCAGATTGAAGGAAGCACCAAACGGGTCGTTGGAACATAGTGAGTTATACACACAAAACATTCCAGTTTTTCTACAATCTTTAAAGTGGTTCCAACCTCATTTTGCTCAGTGGATATATGTCACCGGAGTACGCAATGGATGGCCAATTCTCCATAAAATCTGACGTGTACAGCTTTGGAGTATTGATGCTAGAGATCATTACAGGAAAGAAAAACAGTGGTTGCTTCAATGAGTTCTCGAATCTACTCGGACATGTAAGTACAAGAAAACAACATTATGTTTAAGAGATAACATAAGCAAATGTTTGTTTTTCTTCTTATTGTATAGATTTGGGATCTATGGAAGAAAGGTGAAGTAACAGAGATCATAGACACGTTGATGGATGCAAAGACATATGATGAGGAGGAAGTGATCAAGTGCATACACATTGGGTTGCTTTGTGTTCAAGAAAATGCTTCGGACAGAGTAGACATGTCCACTGTTGTGCTAATGTTGGGACATAACGCTATTGATCTTCCGTCTCCGAAGCATCCTGCCTTTACAACAGGGAAGAGGATAGAGAGTAATGATGGTGGTAGCTCCTCCGGTGCTTGGCTTAGCGGAGAAAACGGCAATTCTATTAATGACGTCACCCTCACCACCATTCATGGCCGTTGAAAAAATTATATTACGTACTACGGTTCAAAATTTTTTTTTTGTTAGTCTAGAGATCTTGAAACAATTGAGAGTGCATTGATGCAGTGTAAAACCACTGGAGGAAAGGCTAACAATATTGCATCGTTAACAGGAGAGTGCTATTGGCATTTCTGATTAAAGGAATGAGATTATTAGTAAAATATGTTTGACGTAATGATATGTTTTTTATATATTTTATTGGATGATCTGGTTGGTCCAGAGAGGAGAATACATCTTATATATTAAAACAGAAGTCATAACTTGATTTCATGTGTGATTTTTTTAAAAATGGTCTGTTACTAGAAAGTTATGTTACATTAACTCTTTAATAATATTATCATTATTATATCTTATAATATGCTTAACAGTTTTGTTTTGGTAAATTACCCCACACCTTCCAACTTAGTCACGCAAAATATGTCAATAGATATAAATTTAGGAATCTTCTATTATTTATAAGGAAATATGTCAATAATAGTTAAATGCATCCAGAATATATTAACAAAAATCACAGATTATTAATATGTAATATTTATATACCTTAACAACATTTACACGTTATATATATTAGATAAATTTATTTCGATGTAAAATTTTAAAATTGTATTGTTTAAAAAAAATTGTTTAAAAAGTTCCTTTTTAATAAACTTTTATAATATTAATTTATGAAGCTATAAGTTTAGTTTTTAACAAAAAATTCTTCGAAGTTTATATTATCTTTGCAAATTAAATTACACTAATATTTAATCAAGCTCTATTTATATTACTTTATCTAAAAATGAAATACTAATCTAACAAACAATAAAATATAGAAGAAGAAACAAACACATGTTTGAAAGTCATGTATAATATAGAAAATTTGAAACAATTTATTTGATTAAAACACTTATTATATAATATTATTATGTTTGAAAAACATTTACTATACATATCGTAAATATGTGATTACTATAATATATACCAATTTACAAGTGAAAACAAAATGTTTATATAACTATAAACGAAAACAAACACCCGCGCGGTTGCGCGGGTCAAAATCTAGTTTAGTGTTAAAAAAATAAATTTGCTCTGTTTAATCCAAATTTGGAATATTTCTCACTAATACCAGATGATGGAACAGTTATTTGTTACATCCCGACATATTAACCATTTGGATCCTGACAATATGTTGCCGCTGGTGGAGGTGATTTCTCTAACATTGTACTTGTATACTAGAACACTTGATGCGCACACTCAAATTTTTTTTCTTTTCCAAATATCTCTTTTTTACGTTGACATTTAAATAATCATGAGAAAAAATGTTGTTAGCCAAAATTAATTCGTCTTTCATATAATTCTCAGTATTAGGCAGAGTTGTTCAACAAAAAAAAAAGTAGTAAAAAGTCATTAAAACGCATAACCGGCAACAGTGCATATGACCGTGATTAAATTGGATTAACTGTCGCTCCTATGGGCTGAAGTTCATTAAAACGCATAACTCAACCGCTGAACGTTAGCTCGGCCCACACACTAGGCCACGAGCCTATGTTAGATTTTACAATACGACACCGTTTTATATATCTCGGTGTCTTCGAGAGACGTAGCAGGTAAACAAACAAAACAAAAACCTTATCCCCCTATCAATCTGTCGTCAAAAGCATTGAGTGCGAACAGTCTCCGCAACTGCAAATGGCTTCCTTCACGACATCTTCTTCTTCCTCTCTCCTCCCCAAAACCCTACCTCCCATAACCCACCTGACACGCCACCCTACACTCTCCAACATCCGTATTCTCGGGAAATGGAATCACCCTCTGCTCAGGAGCATCTCCACCGCCGAGTCTCGCCGTCGTGTCGCGATTGTAAAGGCCGCGACTTTGGATTCGGATTATTCCTCGAAAAGGAGCAGTAGCAATGAGCAGAGGGAGACGATAATGCTTCCGGGATGCGATTACAATCACTGGCTGATTGTGATGGAGTTTCCCAAGGATCCAGCTCCAACGAGGGACCAGATGATTGAGACTTATCTCAACACTCTCGCTACTGTTCTCGGAAGGTTTTGTTCTCTCTTCTTCTTCTTAGTAGTTTGTCTTTAGTTGTTGTATAGTTATCAGTACCGGTCCTGATATTGGAAAGATCAGAAGCAATTTTCAAAAAATTGGCCATTTTTATAAGAACGTCTATATACTATAATAATAATTTTCTTATAAAAAAAGACTGAATTTTTCAAGTATTTTTTGAGGGCCGGAAGCGGTTGCTTGTAATGCTTCCCTCAAAGCCGGTACTGATAGTTATCAATCTCTTGAGAGAAGATGTATAGATATAATATAAGCTTATGAGCAAAAAAAAAAAAAATTTGAACTTGAAAACGCTGTTGAGTCACTTGAACTCAAACTTGATATGGAGACTCTGTTTTAGCTGCTTAAGTAGAGTCTAGGTGATCCCGAGCTATTCGAGTTGAAGTAAATTAGAAGCTAAAAGCACTGTCTTTCATATGTGTACTTGTTTGTTAGTGTTATTAGGAGTGAAAGTTAGGTGAATAATAGAAAGCTTCCGTTTTTGTATGTTTTATTCAAGCTATGTATGAATTGCAGATGGTGTCTCTTTGTTAAAATATGATTTGGACATTTGTAAATTGTAAGCAAATAAAGGTTGAAACTTTAGCCTGGAGACTCTGGGGTAATTTTTTCCTGGATATATATATATAGTGGGGAAATTTACTAAATCTTCAGTTTATTTGTTGCTGCTGGCTGTTTTTTTTTAGAGAACTTGAACTGTGTCTACACTATCGTGCAGCTGTTGTAATTAATTAATGTACCTGTGTCCGTTTTGTAGCATAACCAATTCATTCCGTGTGCTTATTGAGTGTATATGTGTCTGTTTTTCAGTATGGAAGAGGCGAAGAAGAACATGTATGCATTCAGTACCACCACGTATACTGGATTCCAATGCACCATTGATGAAGAAACATCTGAGAAGTTCAAGGGTTAGTTAGTGATCAGTTATAGCTTTAGTTCTCTTATTGTAAGTCTATGCTTGTAATCGTTCAAAACCTCCAAGACACTAACAGCTCAGTTTTTAAAATTTTCACAGGTTTGCCTGGAGTTCTCTGGGTTTTACCCGACTCCTACATAGATGTCAAGAACAAGGACTATGGAGGTAACCCTTCTAACCCTGATTAGTGATTAAACTTTCTTCAAAATCTCTCTCTCAAGCTGTCTTAATATTTGGATGGGATTTTATTTGGTATAGGCGACAAGTACATCAATGGAGAGATTATCCCCTGCACATACCCAACATACCAACCAAAGCAGCGCAATAACTCCAAGTATCAAAGCAAGAGGTACGAAAGAAAAAGAGATGGTCCACCTCCTGAACAGCAAAGGAAACCAAGACAAGAACCAGCCGCTTCTGATTCCTCTTGAACTATGATAATTACAAGACCCTTTGCAACAGTGTTTGAGATTTTGATCAATCAGTTAGCCCCTAGCTTATTTAAAAAAAGATTTTAAATCGTCTAGTATCAGTGATGATACTGTATCATCATCGTTTGGAACAATCTTTTATGGTTAAAATAGATTCGTTCTAGAATATATGATTTAAGTTTTGTTTTGGGTCCGGTTTAATTAGTTTGGTTGGAATCTCTTTGCCCACCGCTTGTTCGCCCCACGTTTTCTCAAATACCACTTCAAGACAAGACACGAAACTTGCGTTTCCAGACAACTTTAGTTGTAGGGTCACTACACACTCGTCACCATCTACATTACTCGTGCCCACCTTATCAACACATCACATGTAAACAATACGTTTACACGGACTTAAAACCAAACCTTTCAAATCACTTTAACCCAGTGCTCCACTCAATCTTCTGCTTTCACCAAAACAACATCTTCAAGATCTCAGAGAATCAAACCCCAAGATGGCAAGTTTCTATGAGCATTACGAGTTCCCATACGATTCCAACCAGGTTAATCATTTCTATGATCATAACTATTATGATAACAATCAACAACACATGTTTGGTTCTGATCCAATGAGTTATAATAGTTATGATACCTGGAATGGATCTGAGTATGAGTATGAGACAACCTCTGCATCTGTTGTTTACTCTGTTTCTACCATGTCTGAGCCGAAACACTTGTTCTATGATCCGAGTTACTACACAACAACAACAACAACCTACGAGTCTCCTCCTCAGTTTAGAATCTACTGCAATATCCAAAACTTCAACGAGCCGGAGTTTGAAGAGTACGATCCGACGCCGTATGGTGGTGGCTATGATATCGTTGCAACATACGGGAAACCACTTCCTGCATCGGAGAAAATTTGTTACCCTTCTTTAACCGCTGGTCTAGCTACACCTCCTTCTCCTCCAGAGATTATCGCTCCCGTTCCTCTTGGAATCTATGATGGTGGTGAAAAGAAAGATGTTAAGAAACGTGTAACTTTCTCTGAGACATTAGAGGAAGCTAAACCATTGGAAACCATTCAAGAAAAAGAACATGATCATCAAGAAGAAGAGGAAGATGATGATGACGAGGAAGAGGAAGAAGAAGAAGATCACAGTTCAAGCAATGGAACTGTGAAACCTGAAACTGTAGATAAAGTTGAAGTGAAAGCTCTGTATGTTCCCTCTGGTTACGGTTTAGAAGCGACAGATCTCTGCGAGGTGATATTCGGAGGCTACTTTCCTTGTGTCTTACGTAACAAAAGACGCCAAGAAGATGAGAATCGTGCGGCTGAAGTTACTTGCTGGGAAACCACTGATTCTGATCCGTGGAAGACTACTTCAGACTACCTTTTTGGTGATTCGTATCCGTATGGTTATGAGAATGGAGTTGGAAGAAGACAGTTCGAGATCTCTTCTTATGGTTACTATAGGTATTAACCGGAGTTATATGATCATCAGATTTGTTCAAAGTTAAGGTAATTAAGAGCAACATTATTTTGATGTTTGGTGAAGATCATTACAGTATATACAATGATTTTTCTTG